CCATAAAGGAAAAAATAAAGCTAGAAAATAATATCGTCAATTTAAAAAATACGAGTAAGTGTAAAGAAAACCATGAAAACAGTCTGAAGCTTCCCCAAGGCAATTAAAGAGGTAGCCTTACATTTATGTAGCACCTTACATTTTACATAGAGCATATAATCATTAGATATATTTTAATCCTCACTTTTCATTAATCCATTCATACTCATTTATTGAGAGTCCTCTAAAACTCATGGTCAGTCATCAGCAAAATCCACTATATCTTCATCTTCTCTGAGTGGTCCCTTAACTTTCTTGTCCTAAAGAAAAAATGACTCTCCCCTAAGGCCCTGATTCCTTTGCATCTCTCCTCCCACTGAGTCTTGTCATGGAGTAGGTATGCTCATTGTCCTCCTTGTTCCTTCCAGACAATCGTCCCTCTCTCCTTCCTAAGATCCCTCAGCCTGTCGTCAGGATATACCACACAGTATCTCCACTGTCATCTACATTCCCGCAAGGTCACTCTCCCTTATTTTTTGAAGATTTTAGATCTTAGATCATTCTCTCCAATAGTATGCCAATCATAATTCTTGGTCATTTTAATATTCATGTAGATGATTTCCTATTGGGTTTGCTCTGCTATAAAGTAGATATGAAATAATTTTGGCTTTTTCTTTTTAGATTTCCTCCCATATCTTCTTTGGGATAACTTTTTTCTAATCTGTTTTATTGAATATTTTAATATTACATAATAATTTAAACATACAGAAAGGTATTCCAAATATTATATATCCAACACAGTACCTGCCTCTAAGTTTCGTCAAATCTTAGCATTTTACCACATTGGCTCCAGATCCCCCTCAATCCCAATTCTCTCCTTCCCTTTCCAGAGTAACCATTGTTGTGACTTTGGTGTTTTTGATTGCCATGCACGTGTATATTCTATTTTGTATATGTATATATCCATAAATAATACATAGTATTATTTAACATGCTTTAAAGTGATCATATTTTAAAGTGGCCTCATATACACAGATCATGCTACAACCTCCATTTTCCTCAACGATGTCTTTCAGATTTATCCATTGTGATACAAGTACCTCTAATCTAGTTATTTTAACCCACTATAAGATATCCCATTGAATATATGTATTCCACTGAATAAATATTAACTTTTTACCCATTTATCTGCTAATGGAAATTGTTTGCTTCCAAATTTTTCATTATTAAAAATAGTTGCCTCAATTAGTATTATTGTATGTATCTTTGGGGGCACTTGTAGCAAGATTTCTCTAGGTCAATAATCTCCAAAGTGGGACATATGTAATCCATGGAGTATATCCCGGGGAGCAGGAAGAAAATATTGAAACTTCCGCTTATATAATTTTTATTTCAATCTTTGTTTGGAACAAAGTACATATAGGAAGGCAGCTAGAAGTCTATTTTTACTCTCATTTTGTTCATTATTTTGTTGTGCCCAATTGTTTAATCAGCAGATCTTGCCTCCGAAGGCAAGCAAACTTAATTCCATCTGACACCACAAGGTGGAGCTGAGACATTAACTGTAAAATCAACAAATCTTGTCTTTACTGATTGACCCAGTAATGCTGGTAGCTGGAAAAACAAAGGGAGGATACCAGTGGCTGTGACTAATAAGTAGTTCTCACAATCAGGGTAAACATTTTAATCATTCAAACTAAAGGGCCTTTAGTGACCTACATGACGACTAGATGAGACCATTTTAAGAATTATTCCAATTATATGAGACCATGATTTCAATTATTTAAGAATTAACCTAAAGCTGCTTGAAATAGCCTGTTGACTGGTACAGGACCCATCTTTGTATTAATTCTCTACTTTCAGAAATTAGTTATGGGAGTAGTTCAACTATGAATTGGATAACAGTTCTGCTAGTATATTTATGTTATTGTTATTTCACTATCTCATGGCTCAAATTATTATGTGCTGTTCTGCAGTCAATATCTAATTTTTTTTAAGTGGAGAAATATCCTTTTCTCTAAAATTTTTCTCAAGGGTAAATATTTTACATGCAGTTTTATTTTTAATCTGTAGGGTTCTTCTTCAGATAATGTTTCTGTATATTTAATATAGTGGATATCTTGTTTTGGCCTCCCCAGTATCCATCCCCTTTTTGAGGTGACAGCTCCCTGACTTTCCTTTGGAGAACCTCCTCTGCTCCATCCAGGCAATATGGTTCAAGCGACTAATGTAATATTATATTATCCAGCTTCACAGACAGCTTCACATATGGACCAACCTAGGCCACAATGGGCACTGCCAGAACTTTTCTTGGCACTATCAGGAAGGCATTCTCATCTTTTGAAATTAAAAGTTCTATTAAGCCTGTGAGCCTAGGTTTGCTAGGGCCATTTCTCCTTCTACACGAGACTGAGGGAAAGGGGAAAGTAGAGATGAGAACCAATACAAAGGAAAAGCAAAGCTGAACTAGAAAGAATCCTGATGACATTATTTAAGCACCTGGCTCGATACAAGTTTAGTGATAATCCTTAGACTTTCAGTTACATGAACTAATAAATTCTTCTTATATTGAAGCTGTTTTGATTGGGTGTTTGTTACCTTCAGCTGAAAGAGTTCTGACAAAAGCAGGCAATGATTTTTTTCTTTAAAATGCATGTGTTTTTCGGAAACACGGCGAAATGGGAGACATCCTCAGATCTCTTCCCTTGAAATAACAATAAGCTGAACACTAAAATTGAACAAAAAACACCCAAACTGCACACCAGTGTGTCTGAGAGTGGGATTTGCACATAAGAACTACCACAGCTCAGAAC